TTATGTTAATTTACTTGTCGAAGGAGTACACAAATTTGATAGTTTAGTAAATTGGTATAGTAGAGACCTCTGGTCAACAAACGACGATTTATATCAACTTTGTCAAGAATTGAGAGAACTTGGAAAAGAGTTCTTCAATTATTGGACGAAGACACTTGCATTGCTTTTCTTGCATTCTATACATCACCAAATCACCAATCCACATACCTAACATGTAATAAACTAAAATATTATTCTTATTTGCTGATTGTCAAAAGACAAGTGTTGATAGATTCATGTTAATGTTAGACTACAAAAAACAAAATTTCCCATTAGTAGTAAAATTTATCTTCAAAACGATAGCTCAATAATTGATTTTGATGAAGTATTAAGTTAGATATTCGTGCCAAAAATTAATTTTAAAAAGAAGTAATTGCACCATCATTGATTGATTTTACTTGAGAATCGATACTTATCCCAATTTCCATAAAAAATCAATTAGAGTTCCCTTTGGAAAATAGTCAACTCATATATTGATATGAATTCTTCTGTTTGTAGGAACTCCAATTTAGACTGTATAGCAAAAATTAAAGTTCTTCCTTTAGCAAAAAGGTATTTAAAAAAATTACAATATTTAGTGGCGAGGTATTTCTGGAATTTCGAAAGGGGAGGTAAGTTAATAAAGCCCAGAGGAAAGTGAAAGTAAGTGGAGGGGGGGGGGAGAGGACTACCTTAGCGGTGGGGTTATTAAGGCCAGTGGGGGGGAGGGAGGAAAGTAACTGGCTGAAGGGGTGGAAGGGGACAGTGATGTAAGCCCCGTACTTACTGACTTAAAGGGCTATCTTTGTCTTAGCTATCTACAGGTCTTAGCCACCAAAGCTTCTTCTCTTTAGTCTCGGCTTTAATTTAACCTTCCACTCTTTGCTCATCTCGCGGGATTCGTAAGACATTCGTGGTAGTGGTTGATGAAACTACAATTCCTTTTTGAAAAATTAGCTGTAAAAGCTAATGTAAAATGTCACCCTTTAAGTAAAGTCGGTTTTTAAAAACCTGTCTGTTTACCTAAATCCCTTCTTTACAATTGAATTGTGATTACTTATTTTATTAATTAGGATTTGTTGTTTCAATGTCTAGGCGCAAAACATGTAGGTCATCAGCGCCCGATCAACCAAATAACAATACTTTTATACTGTTCAGGTGGTTGGTACAAAAAAAAAATAAGAATAAAAAAAAGTAATAAGGGAATTAATATAATAAAATTAATAGATAATGATAATAATAGACACTTGTAGAAAATAATATATAATATTATTATTATTAACCAAACAAAAATGTGGAACATTAGATTAAATTTGCAATCTGCAAATTTCTTTGCAATAAGCAAATTTTTTAGCAGCTTCACAGCTTCCCATCACGTCCGGGATATAAATCAGATCAGCAGGTCTCTTGGCCAACGCCTACGTAATCGTCGTGGTGGGCTGTACGGGTTTCTTGTACGATTAAGGATTTCTGTCAGAGGATTCATGTTGTACGTCAGTCTTTGGTGAAATTAATTGTAGTTCTCCTTTGCAGTATCTAAAATTGTAGGTACGTTTAAGTCTTTATGTAGTGTATCATTTGCGACATGAAAAGGTGCGTCAACTATCCTTCGCAACACTTTTGACTGAAAGGACTGAACTTTTTTAGTGATGGAAGTTTTAGCAGAGCCCCACAGTTCTATGCCGTAATTCCAAATAGGTTTAAGTAAGACTTTATAAAGGGTTAGTTTGTTAGTTAAAGTTAATTTTGAACGTCTGTCAAGTAATCTGGATAAGAAACCGTATCGTCTGTTTAATTCTATTCGTTTTTGTCTGAGTCCTCCAAGTAAGTCTTTTGTCCAGGTAAAAACCTAAATACCTAATTACATCTGATGTAGGGATTTGAATGTTATTAAAATATATTTCAGGGGAAGGTTTATGGTTAAGAGTGAAAACTACATGCACACTTTTTTTTTCATTCATCTTAATTTTCCACCTTGTTGCCCAATCTGCAATATCGTTCAGATGATTTTGAAGGATGGTAGAATAGAATAGATAAATAAATGAAATAAAATAAAAAAAATCAATAAATGAATTGAAATTATGATTTATTTTTCATGATTTTTCTGGAGAAAATTAGTTGTTGTGTGCTGAAATTTCAATTAAAATGGACCACTCTAAAAACTTAAGCTATGTTTCTTTTAAATGATTTCAGTAATATTTCAAGTTATCGAACATTTGTAGAAACACATGGAGAAATCTTATGAGTGAACAACAGTGATTAAGTTTTGGAAAAACAAAGAGAACACAAGCGAGAGAAGGACTTCGTCCGACAAAAATGACGATGTCTGTTTGGTGGGTTATGGAAGATATACTAAATCGTAAATTTCTTCAACAAATTATCACTAAAGATCACTACTGTGATCAGTTGGATCGATTAAGGAAAATGAGTCTCACTTCTCAACGAGGCATTTTATTCCACCATTACAATGCGAGACCTCACTTTCCAAAACGAACATTGCAAAAATTGAAAGAGTTTGGATAAGAAATTATTTCTCATTCACCATATTGTAGTGAATTAGCGCTTTGTGATTATTAACTAATCATCAATTATTATTCAGCAAAAAAAAGAAAGGATTTAATTTATATTACAGCTTAGAAAATACTGAAAATGAAACAATATGACAATAAGTCACTTTTAAATATATCAAGTATAAGCTTAAAATATATTAAATAATAAAATAAATAAGTTTTCTTATAAGAGTAAAAAAAAAAAAAAATTAACAAATTTATATATAGCTGTACCAGATTAAGCTTAGCTGTGGCTCATTTTGGTTAAATAAAAAATAAATCAGATCTTTCTAATATATTTTATGTAACAATAGTTGCGGATATGCGATATTCTTTGTTGTTCCATTATTTTTATATATATAGAGATTTCCTGGTTTTCCAACTCTAGAGTTCGCAACATATAATTGTCTATGTAAGAAGCAATCGGTCTCTAAATCTCCCAAGAAAAAATACTAAATGTGTAAAACATTATATCTTTGCATCAAATCGTAAAATTTAGAATTTTTTTTTTATTTTCACGGAATCAAGAAAATTTTCAAACAATAGTAGCTATAAAACAAAAATTGTGTATTTTTTGAGTTATTCGAAAATATTCTTTTGAAGTCATCGTAACTTTTTTTGCATGTTATTTTTTCATAAAAAATATATGTATAAAAGATAATGTATAGATAACAAAGGTAAAAACTGGAATTAAAAAAAGAAAGAAATATAACTTAAAAAGAAATGATGCAGACAATTCTTAAGGGGGAAAATTATAAAATTAGATAAATAAATAAAAATAAACTGAAAGTTCTGTACCCTTCTCCCTAGAAAAAGAACATAAAAGACAATTTAAACAGAATTATACTTTTTTTTTTTTTGTTATTCGCAAATAAATGTAATTCGTTTCCATTCAGCGAAATTTAGTAAGGAAGACGGTGGTACGGTTGTGAAAAATTTCATTTAATCGTCCTAAATCTTGTTCGTATACATAAAATAAAAGTGTTTTAGAAAGTAAAATAGTATAGTAAAAGCTAAGTATAAATACTAAAATTTGTCCATCAGTACAATGGTTATCTCTTAGGAACAAAATTTAAAAAAAAGAAAGAAAAGGAAGTCGCAACCGACTACACCAAGAACGGTTGTTAAAGTGCTTGGGATCGCCAGTGACAGTATAAAAAAAACCCAAAATAGTCTAAAATCACTTTCATCGCACTCCTTCACAAAGAAACAAAAAAAAAAAAAAACTCTTTTCGACAATATAAAATATTCTGCGTACAAAGTAACTGCTAATTAACAATTAATGCTTAACTTATAACTAGGGAAATATCCACTACTTTATCTGTACATATATGACAACAATTATACAAAGAAACCAAATAAAAATAGTTACTTTTGTCTTTTAAAAAGTAATGAAGGCCTCTACTAGTGTTAAATCGACTTAATTTAATTCGATTGATGAAATACAATGTCGCGCGATGCGTTAGCAATACTGTTTAAAACTTTCAGACAGGCACAACATCCCTTTGTTCCGAATAAACTTATCGGAAATTGGCTACAGTTTCGCTAATATGACGATTGTCATAATCGTGCCTAGTCTCCGCTAATAACAGTAGGGATAATTGATTTTGCTTTAATAATCAACCTCTAGAGTATCTTTTAGAAGGTTTTTGTTTTGGTTGTTTAATGAAAGATGATTTTCTACAAAAAAAAAAAAAAAAAAAAATGTTGCCACCCTTAGTTTTTTTTTTTAATTCGTACTTTTTCTTATGAACAGTGTCAGATTCTCAAAACATTAACAAAATATATATTAAATTATAAATGCATGAAATGAGTATCGAACTCGCAGTTTGATTATGATATTGGTTAATTTTTATAATATTATTGTTAGTTATAGTAGAAAGTGAGTTGTATAGAGAGGTTAGGTATATTGCATTACTTTTACGCAGTCGTTAGAAATAATATTCCAACATGACAGTGACACACGAACACAGTGACATTGCTGCCATCTGTGAACAATCAAGAGAATCTTCAGAGGAAAATAGCCTTCTATGTAGCAAAGGTCCAAGACTGGTTGATGAAAGGTCATCACTAAAGGGGATTGTGGAATATATATATATATATATATATATATATATATATATATATAATATATATATATATATATATATATATATTTCTACTGAAGTAAGGTAATGAGAATTTCTCTACCAGCTATGTTATTTCCTATATCTAAATACAGTCTACTACAAATTACTTTCAAAGTAACGTATTAAATCAGACTATTGTAGTAATATCCCCAATAGAAACAGAAATTCTCAGGTTTTTGAATGAAATTCTGGTATTACTGCTCATTTTCTTTTTTAAATGTTTTAATATATTTATTTTTTCTCCATTTTTTTTACTCCATACCAGTCATATCAATCAATAAGCTACAACAAATCGAAATTACTATCAATTATAGCTCACCTTTTCGATGACACAGACTAAGTTGATGGTTCCACCGAGGACAACGTGGTAATCGGCGGCACCAACGATGAAGGCTTCAGGAACCACGATCTCCAAGTTGACGAAGTGGGACATTATCCCATTGGCTGTAGAAACCTGGAAATAAAAAGAAGTTGAGTTAGAAATTAATAGAGTTTAGATTACGGTAAACTACTGTAACAGTCATAAATACATTCTGACGATCGATAATATAATGCAGTTCGACAATCGATAATATAATGCCAAGATAAAGATTTTTTTGTTTTTGTTTTTTATTCTTCCTACAATGCCATAGACAAAAGAAGAGGATTACTTTTAGCTTGTACGTTTATATGTACCTCTTCTAATAATTATAATAATAATGCAACTATTTTACTTTCATCTACATTTCATTGAGTGATTTCCGGGGTGTGGATACTAATCCAGTAGTCTGAAAGCTAAGAATGTAAACAAAAATAATAACAATATACACATATAAAGAATATGTAAATAAAAGTATAGATTTTAGATCCTATGAATAATAATAAAAATAATGAAGACAATATGATATCAACATGTATGTTATTATAAAAAAAGACAAAAAGGAATGAACAAATAATTAATATAAATATTTTGAAACAGACATGTTTAAACTATTTTGTTAACTGGATGGATACAGGTAGTGGTTAAATAGGCATGGTATAAATATGGGGAGGATATTGGAGTGAAATGTGGAGGATGGAATGGAATTCCATAGGGACGAAGAACGAATAATGAATGATATGTCGAATACCGCGGTTTGGTGGACCGTAGTATATAAATCTGAAGAGTAGTTATTGCAGAAACCAATAGACGATTTGAATTGAAGGAGCTCGGAAATGTATGGTGGGCGGCAGGATAAGATAACTTAAAACAAGATTCTTACGACGGTAGGATGAATAATGCCACTTCAATTATTCATAAATCAGAAAAGAAAGGGTCCACAGATGAAACGTAAAAAATAATTTATCAAACGTTTTACTTTTTCCTAGAGATCTCCACAGACACCACCATAAGCCAAAGTGATGTTATATTAAGAAAGCAACCAGAAATCTAGGTGTTTTTAATGGAAACTGGTGACGGGTGTAATTTAATCGCTTCGATAACAAAAATATTCCTCTCCTTCTGTTTCAACGCCTTAGACTTCTCTTGATGGAGAACATACGAACCATTTCAAGTATTAAAATAAAGAAGATAGCCCAATTCGATAACGCTTATGTTATTAACGAACAAAAAACTTTAATTTTTCAAATGAAAATTTCTTTAGGTGCACATTTTTTTTTTTTTTTTTTTTTTTTGTGGAGAGTCAGTTATATTGACCCGCCAGATCTTCGATATTTTACGCTAGCGTAAAGTCGGCTGGAGTCGACTAATTGAAGTGTTTTTGCATATTTATTAAAATATCTCAGAAACTAAGAATCGGACCTTATACTATAAGCGATGGAAATGTTTAGCATTTCATCCTATTTACAATTACCTATCATTAGTAATTTAAATTTCATCTTATTGATCTCGCCTTTTTGATGTTTTGACTTCTATCAGGTGGTCTAAAGTACACACTATAGTTTTTTTTTTTCTAAATGAAACAATTCAGGATTCATAAAAACAACACAAATGTTTAAAATTACGTTCGTGGTTACTATGCCATAGAAAGAGGAAAAAGAGTTTTACAATTCAAATTATCTTTTTATGCGGTTAAGTTTTTCAACCAATTTCTTGGATAAACTCGCATAAGCGGAAACATTTGTTCGGGTTCGTTAAGTCACTCGGTCACATTGACCTAACATGTTTGGATGTTAACATGGAATTTTCGACCAAACTACAACAGCACTCTTTTTGTTCAAGAAACATACTATTCTTTTAAGTGTGGTATGTATCCCGCCATTTTTTATATTGTGTTGTTCTCAGTGCAACTCTGCGCTTCGTTGGTTTTTTTTTTTAGTGAAAATGTCAGAGTGGACAGATGACCAAGTTATATACTTGAAAAAGGATTGTTCATGCTTGAACATTACATTGCTTACGTAAACTTTTTTGTTGCTCTCAAAGTTTACTATAACGTCTTTAAAAATATTTGCCATCATTTATGTGGACCTGACTGAACACAACACACAAAGTAAATGTTGCAATGTTGAGTTACTTCTCTGGCAAACTTTTTTATTTATTTATTTTCGATTACCACCTTCAATATAATTGTTTTGAATTTGAGAGCAGATTTCGATTGTAATGTTTGGGTATGTTATAGGTTTTTTATTATCTGTATTATAGACTAAAGTCTTCTTGCGTAGTAGGAAATGAGAGAAGTTTAACACTCCCCTTGAAAAGGATGGAATACACAAACACAGGCATAGGCCCTATTTTAAGCGGTGGGGTGCCCAAGCGGGCTAATACTTGTGCACAGCACCGCGCGTTGCCGGGCAATATTATAACCGAAGTTATTATAGTTGAAATGAAAAAATAATTTTATTCTGGGACTACTGTCTCCTAAGAATAATAACAGAGTTACAAATTTATGGATCTTAGTCTGACATAATAAAAATACCAACTAATTTATTGTTAATTGTTATTTCAATTGTGCAATGGATTGAAATTAAACATTGTATAGATGCAAGTAATTATACATGTTAGGGGAAGTTTGAATGTGGAGTAGGTGTTGGAACAGGAATTGTTTGAAGGAATTTGTAAACGAGGATTGACGCATGGAGGTAAGAAGTGAGCTCCATAAGGAAGCAGCACTAATGACGAAGGATATGCTGAAGGAGGAAGTTTTATGGGAGGAAATATATAAGTCTATAGGTTGAGACCTAGTATTGAGAGAGTGGATAGAGGAGCATAGAGCAAGGAGTTCCAGAATGTATGGAGGGTTTTTGGTTCTGAAGACTTGGAAAAAGAAAAAACCAAAGAGGAATTGTCGACGGGAAGTAGGATAAAGCCACTTCAACTCGGTGTACCAGAGTGAAACATGTGAACACCGGGGGATCCCGAAAATGTTTCTTATAAAGCAATTCAGTCAATTGTTCAACAATTCAGTGTTAACTAACAAGTTAGTGTTAACTAACAAGTCAGTGTTAGTTAACACTGAAATTTAAACTCCCTCCCTCACCACTGGCCCTGGAAAACCCCGGATAGTCTAAAAAGGCTAGGAAGGATTGAAAAAAAAGACCAAAGTCTTCATTAATTGTCATTTAGGACAATTTAAATGGTAGAGACCTTTAAATAACAAGACTATTTTAATTTTTGTTTAACCATGTTCAAAAATATTTTAAAAGTATGTAGAATCAACATAATTTGAAGAATAAATAGAGAACAATAAGAAAAAGCTGCGAACAACGGTTGATGTTCAGTTTAAATTTCTGTTAAAAAAAAATAAAAAGCTCTGGTTGGTGCCAAGTGGAATTGAAATTGAAGTCAGGAACCCGTAGGCTGCTGGAGGCAATCAATTAAGTTTGGCGAAGAAATAATATTTGCTCGCGCCGCCACAACTCTATTTGAGTGAAGTGGGGCTGCCTTGTCACCAACCGCGTCTTCCGGCCTGACATGACGAGCTAACATTGGAAGGAAGGCGTTTGTATAGTAATCCTTCCATTTACCTACATAATTACACGATAAGTTTTTGTGACATAAACAAACTTGATAAACAGATAAATAAAACTAAAAAATAAACTTTAAACATGGACCTTGATTTTCCTGATTAAAATGAAAAAATATTTCATTATTCTGGGACTGTTGTCCCTTTAGAAGAAATATAAATACAGATTTTATGTCTGTGTGGTTATCATTAGATTATATATTTACAATAAGAGTTGACTAAAACTAAAAATACTGAAGAAGAGAAAGAAAAGAACAAGAAAATTGTATATATATATATATATATATGAGAAACTAAAATAACCTAAATAATTTGAGGTAGTCTCTGGGGGTGCTTAGATATTTCTCTTAAGTATATTTCGCAATCAGTCGAATTGAGAAAGGAGCAGATGTTTAAAGAGGAGAGGTTTCAAAGAGGAAACTGATTGAGCGTGTCGAATATCAGCAGGGATGGAATTCCAGAGGGAGGCGGCTTGTATTGCAAAGGATTTGTCAAACTCAGCAGTTCGGTGAGAAGGAGGATAGAGGTCGGAAGTACGAGATCTAGTGGGACGGGATTGGATGGAGTATTTGAATTGTAAGCAGTCAAAAATATATGAGGAGTTCACTGTAAGAGGTACCCAACAGGAAAGACATTAATTAGAAAACTAATTTGACCAAGAAAAGTAAAAGAATGAATAATTTCATTAATTAATTTTTTTTTGTTATTTCTAAATGATATTTACAACTGTAAATAAATGAATTGAATTAAAGAAATACATCTAGTAAATTTGAACATATGAATATTATGACTTGAAAACACTTGTTGAGAAACTACCTAATGGTAGCACTCAAATGATATATCTACATTAGGAGATCACGGGACCATCTTCTTTTCAGACGCCTCGGAGGGTTATCAGAAATTGAAGAGGAAGCAAGGTTAGAAACGAGAGGGTTATGATGATTCGGAAGTTTATTAAGGAAGGATAGATATCTGGATTGGGCGAGATCAGAAACATTAAGGTCATTATGGATGGTTTTATTTGTAACAAAGTAGGGAGGATTGAGGATTTTACGAAGGATTTTGGATTGTAAAGATTGGATACAAGAGGAATTCGATGGTTTAGTGGAGCCCCCCCTATAGCTCAACTCTGTAAGTCCAGATAGGGTTTATCATAGTCATGTATATGAGTTTTTTTTTTTGTAATTAATTGGAAGTTTAAAGAGTTTTTTTAGTAAGTGCTGAAGTAATCGGAAACGTCGAGCTGTTTCTTGTTGTTTCAGTCTGGTATGAGGATTCCAAGTTGTAATAATTAATTTAAAGAGGAAAATAACTTATTTTTTCATGCCCCTAGAGAATCAATATTTATATTGGTATTCAACACGATGCATATAAAAACGATGCAACTTATTTCACAATGATTTATTTTTTCCAAATAATTATACATCTAAAGTAACATTACCTTCCTGGTAACAAAGAAAAATAAATAAAAGTTGATTGGTATTATTGATATAAAAATTTTTTTTCATCATTAGTAATTTGCTTTAACAAATAGCATTACTTCATTAATACATTCAAAAATCAAAACCCAAAACAAGTGATATAACATTTGCAGTAGAATATATATAAAACATCCAGAAACCATATTTATGCTCCATATTGTCCGATTTTAACGTTTTTTTTTAAAGGAAATTTTATAATCTTTTAAATAACTATATCAACACAATATGCTACAAAATATACAATATAATAAATAAATATACAACATCAACAAAAAAGTTTATACTTTTTGAGTTCTTCGAAATCTATTTTGACCACCCCTCGTAACATTTTCAGCTTCTTTTCGTTGAAGTATGTTAAATTTACAGGGCATCGAGAAGAGAACTTTAGCTAAATTTCATTGTAGTCAATAGCAAAGCAGGTTTTTCGGTTGCCATCTTGAAAGGAAAAGGCGGATAGTAATGTCTATGAAGGAGTATCACCCTCGAGTGACCTCTGACTTTAAATCCAAATTTGAAAAAAATCGGTCCAGTAGTTTCGAAAAGGCGTATTCGTTTTTCTTATTCTACGTATCCTGAAACCTAAAACCTCAAATTTTGAGAGGGGGTTAAGTTGTTGATTTTTTTGTTCTATTGCAATGATTCATTATTAAAAATAAAAAATAAAAAGTATTGATTGATTTTGCTAATATTAAAAAAAAATTGACAATATTAAATTAATAATTTATGTAATGATTTCTTAAGTTTTAGTACTTTGGGCAGTCTATTAAAAAATATTAGAGAGTTTCTGCTTTTGTAGGATACATATGGTGTAATTTTCTTCACCTTCTAATTTGTAGGCCGTTCCATTGTGATAGAATGCGGGTTCGGTGAAATTGGCTATCCTAACCTGATTAATTGTTCTAGGCTTAATTATTCTTGTTCTGAAGTTTAAATACTATATTCTCTTAGATTAAGGATATTAATAGTTCCGTATTACATATTATATTTTGAATTGAGTAGTGAGCTTATATCATTGGTAACAGGTTGATTTTCATATCTATTTATAATGTTTTTAACTCACCTTCTTCAGTGTCATGAAAAATTCTTATCTAGGATTATTTTCAAGAACTATCAAACACAGATCAACATTATTTTTTAATTTTTGGGTCACAAGTTTTTTTTTTTTAATTTTTTAAGATTTTAGATTAGATCATTTTGCCTTCAAACTTCTTGTATATGCAACGAAATGAAAAAATTGTTTATTGAAAATACATTAATTAAAAATAAAACAGGTTTCCTTGTCACTATGTTTAACAAATAGACCGCTTGGACTTAAATGTCTCTAAATAATTTCCAAAATTCTTTTTTTTTAAATATTAAATTATAAACATTGTGGAAACAGACGATTAGATTGTCCTCCTAAAAATAAATGTTATTCAATTTTTTAAAAAATGTATATTATTGCTTTTGCTTTGTCTGGATTTATATGCTATTATATATAATTTTTTTTTTTTTGTGCAAAATAATAAAAACATATTGACTATTGTATTAATTAAGTTGTAATATAACATATATTAAAAAAAACAAACAAAAAACAGCGTATCCGGTAAAGTTAGCCCAGTAAATTTTTGTTTTGCAATAGTCAGTTAGATTCGTTTTTAATTTATTTTGAAACTCTTAAATACGAGTTTTATATAAATTAAAAATTGTAAAATTTAATAGTTGATGTTCTTTGAGGATCTTTTTTCCGGGCTAAATTAAAGTCCTTTATTTGGAGAAAATCCTGAGAAGTTATGAATTTCTCAGGATTTTTTTCAAATCCAACGCTAGCAAAACCGTTGGAAAGCTGAATTACTACTCTTCTAACTAACAATAAATAAATCACATAACTTTTGGATTTCATTCCTTTTTAAACTGAAAATAAAAAAAAACTTCTCAATCATTTTTATTTTATATCTTTTGTTCTAATTTGTTTAAGGAGGTCTGTTTTGTACCATTTCGTGTAGCAGATAGAGCCCTAAACTCCTAATAATTTTTGTGTGAGTCGATTAAGCTATCCTGAAGTTATTACAAGTTTTGTAGTTGTCGACAAAAATTCTTGCAGAAAATTTTCATTTTTCGACTGCTTTTAAAAATATGTATTTAAGATTTTTTTTGTGAAAAAAAATCCAAATTATGCCCACATTGTACCGATCTACTAAATATAATATTCATTAAAAATCTATCTGGTATCTTGAGTGAATATGTTTAGAGAAACTAAGTTGGTATTCGTTTTTCGCACCTCAAAAAAAAAAAACAAAAAAAAAAAAACTTAAATTACGAATTTTCATTCAAAGGCTTCAGAAATAATTACATAATTTAATGTTAATAAAGGATGGAGATGGTCATAAATAGACTAAATAGTGGGAAACTATTGTATTAAAAGCCAACGTTTCGACTCGACTTAGCAGGTCTTCTTCAGACAGGTGTGTTCAGGAAGAAGTTTCACTTAGAACTCGAAAGTTTTTTAGGCGATAAAAAATAATATCAACTTAGGTATGTCCAAATTATTCTCACATTTTACCGATCTGCCAAATATAATATTAATTAAAAATATATCTATATGCTACAAGAAAAAAAAGAACTTCAGTTCTAAGTGAAACTCCTTGCTTAACACACCTCCCTGAATAAGACCTGCTAAGTCGGGTCGAAACGTTGGCTTTTAATAAAATAGTTTTGCTACTATTTAGTCTATTTATGACCGCCACTCCGGATCAGCTCCTTCCTTAATATCCAATACAACGGTCAACTAATAAGTACTCAATTTAATATTTATAATCTTAATTTTTTTAAAGTATTGGCAAAGTCAATATTTTTATTTACACTTTTATACACCTTTTTAAAAAGTATTTCTATAAATTAATTAATGTTTCTTTATATACACTGACAGGCAAAAATTACACCCACTTGCCGGAACCTTACCGTTGTTCAAGCGATTCATCAGCTCGAAGAAGTTCGAGGTGTGCAAATTTCTGAACGTACTGCTCGGAGAAGATTAAATGAGTATGGATTAATGGCTTTTCGTCCAGTAAGAGGACCAGAGTTGACCAGAACTCACAGAGTAACACGGCTGGCTTTTGCTCGAGAACACAGCCATAAGACTATGGACGAATGGAGTGCTGTACTTTTTACAGATGAGTCAAGATTCGCTCTTCGAACTCCAGACGGGCGTGAAAGGGTGTGGAGAAGAAGAAACGAAAGATATGCAGCTTGTAATTTTTCCCAGACCCAACATTTCCAACGTGGTTCCTGAATGGTGTGGGCTGGGATTTCAATGGAGCGCCGCACAGAATTGGTTGTTGTTCGTGGAGGGTCTTTGACAGCCATTCGCTATGTAGATGAGATTTTGGAACCTCATGTGTTGCCTATCCTCAACGAAATCGGCGATCGTTCTATTCTAATGCACGATAATGCACGCCCACATGTCGCCCGCATAGTGCAGACGTTCCTTCAACGTAACAATA